GGAGTTTCAAAGGGAAATGCTTGCACGTATGGATGCTCTTACTCTTGAGATGCAAGCACGATTTCCTCCTCCTCTGATCCTTCTATGGACGAGTAGACCTTGCTTGGTTTTTATTTTGGATCAACTTAGAACTTTCATTGTTAAAACATTTTGAATGTTTTTGATTGATGGATGATTGAATTTGTTTGGATTGTTTAAATTTGAGTTTGCTTGGATTTATGTTTGGTTGTTTTAACTTATTATATATATATTTAGTTTGGTTTTAACATTCATTTTGAGCTTAATGTTTATTAATTTTTGCATTATTTACATATTAGTTGCATTATGACCAATTTCCATTGCACATTTGTTTATGAATATTGATTATGGAACGAATGGCTAATCTTTCTCTTGATTTTGATCTTAACAGCTTAAGCTTTATTTAATCAATTAGCAAAATCTTGTTTTCTAAACCTTTTTGAGTCATCTTTTTGATTTAATAAAAAGGGGGAAAAATATTAGAGTAAGGGGGAGTAATTTTCAAATTTTCAAACTTGATTTCCAAAATTATTTTCAAATTAGAAAATCTTAAAATTTACTCAAAATTTTTTTGTTATATCAAAAAGGGGGAGATGGTTGAAAACATTTTGATGTTGCAATATAACAAATTAAGTATTAATTAATTTTAAGATTTTATATTGAGTTATATATTTGATTAAATTATTCGAATATGAAAATTACTACTCCAAGTTTTTCAAAAGTCTATTTCAATCCTTACTCAACCGTAAAATTAAGTTTCAATCTTAAAATATTTTTGAAACAATTTTTACAAAGTATTTCGAGCCATATTCGAGCCAAAAATAAAAATTATTTAGTATGGTATCGATACCCCCTATAGTGTACCGATACCCCTGTAAACATTTTGATTCGAGAAATAATAGAATGCTCGAATGGTACCGATACCCCCCATAGGTATCGATACCCCCATGCAATGGTATCGATACTCCTCAGATGGTACCGATACCCTAAGGCATATAACGGTCAAAATATTTGAATTGTACACTATAGGTACCGATACCCTATAAAGGGGTACCGATACCCCCACGCTCCAAGCTGTTTATTAATTGTTTTCACACTTAAACGGCTCCATTGACTCCACTAATCATCCCCAACGTTCAGAATCAATTGAAGGAGTATTTAAGCAAGTTCTGAAGCCTTTGATCAAAAGAAATCATAGAGAAACAAGAGAGAAAGCATCAAACACCAAGTTTGTGCAATTCAAGCCAATTTTCCTTTCAATATTCTTTTTCCTTTCAAGAACACAATTTGTGCTCATTGTAATCATCTTGAGTGTTCTTATCTTGTTCTAGAATTGTGCAAACATCTTACCATGTGAGGTTTTTCTTGTAAGTGTGCAAAATTTGTGTATTTCTCTTTGGAAGAGAGTTGCTCAAGAATTGAGGTATAATTCTTGAGGGAGTTGTAAGGTTAGTCTTTGTCCTCAAAAGAAAGAACAAATTAGTGAATTTGCTGGAAAATCCTTAGTGTGGATAGCAAAGGTAGTGGACGTAGACTTTGGTTGAGAAAGTCAAACCACTATAAATCGTTGTGTAAATTACTTTTAATTTTCTACAAAAGCTTCCACCAAATTTTTAATTTCCAATTCACCCCATCTTGTCCTATTCCATCGATCGATTAACCTAACACTGAGCTAAGTACTTCTAGAATTATCATCGATCTAAATTTGAGAAGGAGAACACACATTCAAATTATACCTATGCTGTTCAGGTACTAACATATCATTAGCGTTGGTCAACTCACTTAAACTGATTTCCATAACTTTTAAGGGTAGTTCAACACCCATGTTTATTTCGATTCCTTAATTAATCCAAAAAATTTACTTGTCTAGACCATAAGGGCATTTTGGTGCTCAATATGTTTCCATTCATTTCAAAGCTTGAGGATAACTATTCATTCCTGAGCTTGGTGATATTCTTGAGTCATTTCCATTACATGGGTATTTTGGTCATTTTACAGATCCAATGTATTTCAATCATTTCCTTCTATTTGATCTTATTATTTAATTTAATCTTATCACTTACTTCAGTCCTTTCAAACAATTATGACCAAAGAACACCATCGATAAATAATTCTTCAGGTAATTACTTATAACTCGGAGATTTTCGAGTCGATAGCTTTCTCAAAATTTTCAAATAGAATATCAGAAATTTCTTGGACAAAGACATGTTCTTAACAATTAAATCCGTAATTTATTGGGTTAAGAACGAAATCTTAGGGTACTTTCTCATTCAGGGTCAACTCGGACAATTTTTACTTCTCAAGGGCATTTTCATAATTTCTTAACCAAATAATTTCAGTAATAAATCTTAATGTAAATAATTATAATTTAGAGATCCTATGGTCAATTGCTTTCCCGAACATTCTCTGATCTTGAAATGATTCCTTAACAGACTTTTAGTATCTTGCACAAACCCTATTGGGGTTAAAAACCGGTTATCCAAATTTTCTTAGCAAAACTAGCATTTCTTATGCACATCTAAAATTTTATCAGATCAATATGCCTTTTTAGAATTATTAATCAACTTCCAGGGATAATTCTTGTCATTATACAACATAAGGGTATTTTCGTAATTTATCACTTAAACCATATTTGGTTCGAATCCATCCATAATCAAACAAGCATAATAGACCAAACATATATATATATATATATATATCTATGCATTTATCCATTATCAACATGTTCCATAAAGCTTAAAGAGGTAGTAATGTATTACCTCGATTTTCGTGCAATACTTATCAACCCTTAAATTCCATTCGAACGTCCTCGAACCTTAATTCAACTTCCAATAATTCCTCAAATACATAGCAATATAAATTTCATAAAAATGGATCTTAATTCTGAAAACGGATCGAATCAGATGATAAATAAGTGAAAAACAACTTATCAGGTTTGAATTTGGCTAAATGGACCCCAAAAACAACTTAGGACGTCAAAAAACGTCAGAATAGGTATACCCGGAAAAAGTCAACGGCCGTTCAATGGCCAGTCAACGGCGGTTAAAGTTCTGGTCAACGCAGGTCAACGAGGTCAACGGGTCAGGTCGGGTCAGATCGGACCGGGTCAGGTCAGACAGGTCAAACTAATCAAACCAGTTATTTTCTGTTTATGCACAGAACCATCCCCACGCGTAGGGAGCGACGCGTGCGGCGTCCTCAGAGCCCTAAAAATCCCGAAAAAATTTCTAAAAATTATTTTATGGCATTTTGAGATACTTACCAAACTCGTTTCATAATTTGAAAAGCGGAGAGCTCGATTCCGAAACATCAAAAACTTTGACTTTCTCACCCCTCCACGCGCCGGCGACGACGAAGACACGGAGATCACCGGTAGACTCAGAACAATGCAAGAAACACGATGGTGTAGGAGGTGTCGAAAACGATTGGTCGGATCGACGTGAATCGACGAAAAACCAACGAAAATTTAGTTAAAACCGACTATACTTCCGACTGAAATTAACGATGCCTATTCATGATAAGAGACTTTAGGGGTTTTGTTCATCTTTGATAACGAACACGATGGTGGTTTCGATTCGTCAAACTGTGACCGGACGGTGAGTAGATCGGAGATTAAAGGAGGGTAAAAGGGGAGGAAAAACTGGGAAAAATATGCAAAAACATATGGGAAATGAGAGTTTATAATTATCTCAAAAATAAAAATGGGTAAACCATGAATTTAGTCACTGAATTTCCTACACTTCTTAAAATGGTTTGCTAACTTTACGATTTTATAATTTAATCTCAATTTCTTCCAAAATACCAAATTAAATCCAATACTTTATAATTTCTAAAATTTTAGCACCTAAATTGGGGTGTTACATTCTCTATTTTGGACCCTCGAATTAGATTTGGATATCTAATTTGTGTTTGTGGATAGTTTTTCACGTTACTCGAGTTTGATTTGTAGTTTGTTAATAATCTTTCAAACTTTCAATAGTTTGATCCCTTTTGTTATTTGTTTGATGATACAATTAGATCTATTTATATCTATCTCTGTTTAAGTTTCTTGGTTAGATTTTAATTTTTCCTTACGTGATTATAAGTGGCTAGTTTTGTTTTAATAATTATAAAAAATTATCTTAATGATGTACTTAATTTACAATTATGATCATAAATCTTTATCATAATTTAAGATATTTACTATTCTAAATAATATTTGTGGCTTCTATAAACAAATTATTAATAATATACATTTATTCTATAGATGTGACTATTCAAATTTAAATTAAAAAAATTCCTTGAAAGAGCCTACTAATAAGAAAAGCAATATGAACAATGGCTTGGCACCCTTAATTCTTTTAATGTTATTTTTTATTTTTATAATTGAGATTTTTAATTTTTAATTTTATAATTAAAGCTTTTAATTTTTATAATCTCCCTTTTTACCTTTATAATTAAAGATCTTATTTTTTCAACTTTTTTACTTATATAATTGAAGTCCTAAATTTTTAATCTAACTTTTTATCAATTGAGGTCTTTAATTTTTTCAATCTTATTTTTATCTTTATGATTGAGGTTAATAATTTTTTCAACCTTACTTTTTATTTTATAATTGGTACCCTAATTTATTTTTTTTATAATTTATTAATATAATACTAAATTAATTATTTAAAATAATTAAATATATTTTCAATTAATAAACCTACTTTTTAGTTTCGCTCATGAACTGGAAAACGTGCGAGACCGATTCTAACTATTGACAATGCTCAATAGATTCATATATATATATATATATATATATATATATATATATATATATATATTATCAGATACTATCATTACTGATTGATTGTTCTCTAAGTTTCTTCCTCCTTTTTAGTTTAATCAAAAGAGTTTTCTTTTTTAACTACCCGTTCCTCTTCTCCCCCACAATTTTTGTAACCCAGCATTTCCAGTTACTACTTTAAAAATAATAATGATTTTGCATACGGATTCTTCTTCGGTTTAGAGTGTTTTTAGGATCTGGGTGTTTCCACTTTTGGATTTTGTTGACTTAGGCATAGTCTATACTCTAATGTTCTCTCAGCTTTTTTATCTCTTTTCCATCAACCTTTCTTATTTTTTTTCTTTTTATCTACATTACATTTTTGCTGTTTAATATTTTTTCATTTATTGATTAATTCAGCAATGGAATCTCTGTGCATGGCACTCAAGCCAAATGCCAATTGGTTTCATGTTAGGAAAGGTGGTAGTAATGGACGCTCTCTTTCATGGGGTGAGAGTATCAAAGGGGATCTTAAACGCAGGGATTTTGCAAGACAATTATGGAAGAGTTTGAGAGCTGAAAATGGTGCCAGGAAAGCAAAGCCTGCTGTTGTTTGCTCTTCTCCAAATCCAGATAATGACACTGATCCCATAGTATGTGAAAAATAACATTTTTCATGATACCAAGTATTTTGAATTTTGTTTTCAATGTGGGTATTTTGATTATCACTAAGCATTTGAATCTTTTCATTATCAGGAAGAGCAGGCAGCCATGTTTGAGACTCCACAAGCAGACCCAAAGCAAGTGGCTACCATCATACTGGGTGGCGGTGCTGGGACACGCCTCTTTCCTCTTACTAGCAAGAGAGCCAAACCAGCAGTAAGATATAAGCCTTCTTTTTTATAATGAAATAAACATTTTTTTTTAAATTTCAGAATACTATGATTTTGTTTGGATCGTAGGTTCCCATTGGAGGTTGTTACAGGCTGATTGATGTTCCAATTAGCAACTGTATCAACAGTGGCATCAAAAAGATATTTATCTTAACTCAGTTCAACTCTTTTTCCCTCAATCGTCACTTGGCAAGGACATACACCTTTGGGAATGGTGTAAATTTTGGAGATGGCTTTGTGGAAGTAAGCCCATGTTGGTTTAGCAGTATAGATACTGCTAGAAATCCTTGTTTATAATTTGCATTTTATCAGATTTTAATTGTTTTGGTGAAAGTTTTCATGAAGCTATGTTGCCTACATAACAGGTTTTGGCTGCCACTCAAACATCAGGAGCAGGAGGGAAGAAATGGTTCCAAGGAACAGCTGATGCCGTGAGGCAATTTAGTTGGGTCTTTGAGGTTAGTTACTCGGGTTCGTATTCGAGCTCAAGCCATCTTTCTGAACCCTGATGTTCATCTGAATGTGATTTAATGTCTGCCAGGATGCCAAGGCCAAGGATGTCCAGCATGTTCTGATATTGTCCGGTGATCATCTGTACCGAGCAGACTACATGGATTTTGTGCAGGTAATTAGTTTGGTTTCTAGGAGCATTCCAACTTCCAAGGCTCTTCTTTTCTCTTTCCCAAGCATGGGTGTTGTACCTTGAAAGACCATTCTGGCATAATCCACGGTTATTGTTCTTGCAGAAGCATATTGACACAGATGCTGATATCACGGTATCTTGTTTACCAATGGATGATAGGTATTTATCATTTAATGTTGCTCAAAACATGAAAGCATATACCAATGGTTGCTTTCCTTCCTAATGTCGGAATCAACTTCATTTCGATTTTGCAGCCGTGCATCGGATTTTGGATTGATGAAGATAGATGGAACAGGAAGGATCGTCCAGTTTGCAGAGAAACCGAAGGGCGGCGATCTTAAAGCTATGGTACTTGCTTTTACCACTTCTGATCACTTCTTAACCCAAAATTCCATAGTTTTGGTGTTCTATACATACTATAACTCATTTCACATTTGTACAACAGCAAGGTGATACCTCCATATTAGGGTTATCAGGCAAAGATGCTGCAAAATATCCTTACATTGCATCAATGGGTGTGTATGTGTTCAAAACCGATGTATTGTTAAAGCTTCTGACACGGAGCTATCCATCTTGCAATGACTTTGGTTCGGAGATTATTCCGTCTGTGGTAAAGGACCACAACGTACAGGCAAGATGGGTTTTACAAGAACTTTTACATTTACTTTTCTCCTAGGATTTTTCAGCAGTAATCAGATGCTAATTAGTGATTCTAATTCGGTGATCAAACTGCTGATCTGAATCTTCACAGGCATATTTATTCAATGACTATTGGGAAGACATTGGGACCATAAAGTCCTTCTTTGATGCCAACTTAGCTCTCACCGATCAGGTTTCCGTATAGATATGGCAATCATTTGATTATTACTTACATTTGGTATTTGGTATCCATTTCCTGGAAACTAGTTTTATTTTCTACATGCAGCCCCCAAAGTTCGAGTTTCACGATCCAAAAACTCCTTTCTATACATCTCCAAGATTCTTGCCTCCCACGAAAGTTGATCAATGCAGGGTATTTACTTCAAGTCTTAGTTTAGATTGTGATTAATGAATTTGGCCGTCTCACCTCATGGAAAATTCGGTTGCTACAGGTTGTTAATGCCATAATTTCACATGGTTGCTTCTTGCGGGGCTGTATCGTACAACGCTCTATAGTCGGGGTGCGGTCACGTTTGGAGTCTGGTGTTGAGCTTCAGGTGATCCCACATCTTCACTTTCCCATAGAAATATCATCAAACTAGTGATTACAAACACCTCTTCTTTCTGATAAACTGCATTTATAGTTAGTAATGGCATAGACTAAACTTTGAGAAGATTGGATCCACTTTTCACATGCTTATACTTCTGACGAGTAATCGTGCGGCCTTAGGCCTGTATGCCTAAGTCAGCCTTAATCAAGAGAGCAAAGTTGTTGGAACAGACAAGAGTACATATGCAAATATGTTACCTTATCTTTATGTTCCTTTCTCTGCAGGATACCATGATGATGGGAGCAGACTACTATCAAACACAGTCAGAAATGATGTCTCTGCTAAAGGAAGGAAAGGTTCCTGTCGGTGTCGGACAAAACACAAAGATCATGTAAGATCTATATTGAAGAAAAGAAACCAAATTTTCTAATTGATAATCCCATGTAGAAGATAATTTTGTTTGAAAATAATTTCTTATTGTTGCTACTGTGTTTTTAAAGGAATTGCATAATAGACAAGAATGCCAAGATAGGAAAGGATGTGATCATATCAAATAGTGATGTAAGTATTGCTTCCATCAATGTTTAGTATATCTTAAGATTTTTTTTCTTCTTTTTAATAATTTTCATTTACTTTGGCCACTCAGGGTGTTGAAGAAGCTGAGAGACCAGAGCAAGGGTTTTACATCAGGTCTGGGATCACAGTCATAATGAAGAATGCAACAATTAAAGATGGAACCCGAATATGAAATATCGAATCGGATCGAGCTCACGAACTAAAGTTAACAGCTATATTCTGCTGAATTCTTGCTGTGCTGTTTTGCAGTAAAAATATATATAGGAGTATTGCTTTGTATATGTAAAGTACAAGTTCCTCTGCAAATTCTACATAGGAATTCAACTGCAGTCTTTGCTTATGTATTTCTTCTTGAATAGTTTAATTCATTTGATATCCAAAAACACCAATAAGCTTAAAGAACAAAATAAGTTGGTTCACCAAAATATTCAATAAGTTGGTTCACCGATATGTTGATTTATTGGAACTGATGCTGTTTCGAATTAGTGTATTATTATTATTTTATGTTTTTCTTTCTTCAGTCTTTCTCAATTCTCCCGACTCCTCACCAATACCCAGCTCCAATTTTCCTTTTTAAATCAAACCCTAAATTTTATAATGGATAAATCCAATTATTATTATTATTATTTTCAATAGAATTTGAAAAACCTTATAATCATCAACATTAACAAAATAATCATTTATGCATGAAATTTAAATTATAAAAATCTAACGTAACATAATAAATTATTAATTTATTTCTAAATATTTACTGCATTGATATAATTTCATTAACAAATAAATACATTTCTTTTTAACTCTTTCATTTTCAAAAGAAAAAACCCAGATTAACATCGTGTTTTTTATGTTAGCGGATCAAAAAAACCCTAAAAGTTTGAAAGATGGCGAGACTCGATAATACCATGGTGAGTGGGGATAATTGTAGTGGATGAGGTGGTGATGAGGGTTAAGATCAAGATTTTGTGTATTAATGTGGCAATAAAGATAATGAAAATTTGATAACTGATTTTTTATGGTGACTATGGTTGTGTTTGATGGGAGTAGTTGGTGACATATTGGTGGGGGGATGGATGATGGATGAGGCAGTTAAGCGTGTAGAGAAATTAATTGAAAATGGTAATGGTGATTTTGGGAAAAAATGATGGAGGAGACATTGTGAGTGATGAAGGGTGAGACTCGATAAAACAATGGTGAGTGGGGATATCACTTAAGAAAAGAAGGCTAGAAAGGAAAAAAAAATCGAAAAAAAATGCAAAGGGGAGTGCTTACCATTGACTAGTGTTTATTTTGTGCTATATTTTGTGTTTAAATACTCTTTGTTTGTTCATATTATTATTGATGATTTGAGCATGATAATGACTTCTGAAAAATGTGCTTAAAAGACCTGAAAACTATATTTTTTTATCTGAAATCATGGGCATGAAACTGGGCATGAAAGTTCTTACGTGAAATCCAGTCAGCATCTTCTAGAAGGTCCAGTCAGAATTTTCTTGGAGGTAGAAGACTCAGCCACAAATTCAAATTTAAATTCTGATTCTATCTTTATTTTTAGGAATTAATTTTCAAGAATTATCTTTTAGGATTTTTAATGTAATTTTAGAGTTTTTCATAGACTATAAATACCCCATCGGAGTAAGACTGGAAAAAAATCATCTCAGAGATCTCTCAAATTCTTTTGGTCCTTTGTTTAGTTTTTATAAAATTAATTTTTTAATTTTTCTTTTCTTTATTTTTCTTTTCAAGTTTTCTTTACTTTCGAAATGCTAAGTATGGTTTTCGACCATGCTTAGCTAAGTTTTTCATAGCCAAAGGGTTTGAAGCGATGACTTAATTCCTAACATGGGAATTGAAAAGCACCTCATACCCTTATAGTTAAATTTTTCAAATTTTTTGGAAACTAGATTGGCAGATTGTCTTTCTTAAAATCAAAACTCTTTTAATCGAATTTAAATTGAGTCAGGAGCAATATTGGTTCAAACAAAACTAATTTCTAGCCCCTGGAGCACCTGAGTCACGCGAGCAGCATGAAAACTTTTCCCTTTCACCTGTACCACACTTTTACCCCATTTTGTAACACCCACAGACAGATGTAGGTGACCCGATCTGATCCGGGGTGTCACATTAGGGCCACCGGAGAGACCCTTCGTAAAAATCTCGGAAAAATTAAATTTTTTGTTAAAACTTGTAAAATCATAAAACAATTTATAAATAAAAAAGTAAAATTTAACAATATTCAGAAATAAAATAGATTTCAGACTCGTATATAAAACAAAATACAACCTACATGCCCCTAAACACATGCACTGTACTCTGCAAGCAACATCAGTGGAACTCATTTACTGATGTCGATAACTGCACTGGTTTGATTCTTTTAACCTGAAATGGGAGTAAAAGAGTGAGCTTTGGGTAACAGGGATTAGGTTAGGGTAGGGAAAAGGCTAAAAAAGGTTTAAAATACCGAAACAAGATATCGAAATAATTAAGTACAATCCACGAATTAACATGAAGTGCAATGAAACAAGGAAAAAGAATAGATGAAAGACAATTGAAACAATCAATTTTTCCTTCCTTTTTTTGTTGTTCGAAACAATGAACAATTTGCTCTTTTTTTTTCCGAAACAACAATTTTTTTCTTTTTCATGGAACAAGAGTGATACAAGATCTCAAGTCTCGGTAAGGGTGTGAAAAGATAGGAAAATAAAAAGAAAGGTTTCGGGTTTAATTATGAGGTATAAAACAAAGAAAGGGAAATAGGCTCAGTTGTGGTTCACTAGTGAATATATAAATGGGTAGGCTTTTTAGGAAAAGTGGGTTTATCCTAGGTGCCCCTATCAAATTAAAACATTACGTTCAACATGTAGTCTCGATATGCATTATGATTACAAATTCTAGAACTTCCTAATTAGTCCGACACACACAAGTCAAACAATGAGCAAGAAAAAAATGTATGCTCGTTAGGCTCAAATCTCACAAGAAAAGTTTATATGCACTAAGTCAAGTTCATCTCTATCGACAAAAGCATGAAATATCAATACTCAACAAAAAATTCACCAGCTATTCCAATCACCAATCATGCAAATTAAATTTGATCAAAACATGATCACAATCCAAATGGAAGCAAGAGTATAAAGTGAAGTTCAAGACTAGCAACTAACGATCTCAACACATCAATATCAGAATAACTCAGTTTAAAACAATCAAACAAGTCAAGGAAAAATTTGACGACATGGTTATCTTTCCCCCTCACTTAATCCGTTTTGTACCAAAATGTATATTGAATTTAAAAACAAAGAGAGGGAAAAGGAATACTCCCCAATCTAATGGCGATCGCGGCCACGACCATGTCGAGACGAGCTCGGGCGAAGGTAAGAAATATTCGATCGGAACTCGAATCTGTTCAGAGACAAATAAAATAAAATTAAGCATCTGATAAAATAAAATAATATAAAAGGAATGAAATAAAATTTTCTAAAAATAAAGAGAAATGAAAATAAAACGAAATGAGTTGCCTTCAATCAAGTGCTTTTGTTTAACGCCGTTAGCTCGCCGACTTGATTCAGACTACAGATTCCTCTAAATTGATTTCTTCGATTAGACCAACCAGAGCATTTTCATAATACGACTTCAACCTTTGACTGTTAACATTAAATTGAACTCCTGAGTTATCTCCAACTTCAATAGCACCATGAGGAATTACTTGAATTACTGTAAACAGTCTGAGCCATTTTGATTTGAGTTTCCCTGTAAAAAGTTTAAATTTGGAGTTAAATAACAAAACCTTTTAACCGATAGAAAAAGTTTTAAAAGAAATTCTACTATCGTGAAAATCTTTTGTTTTTCTTTAAATATCCGATCACTGTCATAGGCATTTTTTCGGATTTCTTCAAGTTCTTGAATGTGTAATTTCCGAGCTTCACCAACCGCATCCATGTCCATGTTACATTGTTTAACAGCCCAATAAGCCCGATTTTCTAACTCAACCGGTAAATGGCATGGTTTACCGAAAACAAGGCGGTATGGTGACATCCTAATGAGACCTTTATAAGTGGTTCGATATGCCCAAAGTAAATCAGTTAATTTTAAACTCCAATCCTTTCGGTCCGGTTTAACAATTTTTTCAAGAATTGTTTTAATTTCTCGATTTGATACTTCGGCTTGTCCATTTGTTTGTGGATGGTAAGCGGTAGCAATTGTTTGAGTTACTCCAAATTTCTTCATTAGCGACTTGATTACTCGATTAATGAAATGAGCTCCTCTATCGCTTATTATAGCCCGTGGTGTGTCAAAACTGGAAAAAACAATATTTTTCAAAAAAATATTAACTGTAGTTTTAGCATCATTATTCCGAGTGGCCTTAGCTTCCACCCATTTAGAAACATAATCTACAGCTAAAATAATATAGGTAGTTCCAAATGACGAAATAAAAGGACCCATATAATCGATTTCCCAAACATCAAAGATTTCGTAAACTTGTATAAAATTAAGTGGCATTTCATTCCTACTGCTTAAATTACCTGTACGTTGACATATTTCACAAGTTTTACAAAACATATAAGAGTCTCGAAAGATGCTAGGCCAAAAGAAACCGTATTCAAGAATTTTATGGGTTGTACGTTTTGGCCCAAAATGACCACCGCAAGAGTAAGAATGACAAAATTGTAAAATTGAATTTACCTCACTTTCGGCAATACATCACCAAATTACCTGATCCGAGCAGTGCTTCCATAGATAAGGATCGTCCCAAATATAGTATCGGGATTCATGCTTAATTTGATTGATTTCAACTCTCGACAAATCTAATGGTAACTTACCCGTGGCCAAATAAATAACCATGTCTGCAAACCATGGGGTTATGCTTTGCGCCACTATCAATTTTTCTTCAGGAAATTCTTCTCTAAGTGGTGGGTCATATGTGGAAAGGGGAATTCGACTCAAGTGATCCGCTACCAGATTTTCGCATCCTTTTTGTCTTTAATTTCTAAGTTAAACTCTTGTAAAAGCATAATCCATCTGATAAGCCTCGGTTTTGCTGCCTTTTTGCTCATCAAATACCTTATAGCTGATCAGAAAAAACAGTAGTTTTAGTGCCAAGCAAATAAGATCTAAATTTTTCTAAAGCAAAAATTATAGCAAAAAGGATTTTTTCTGTAGTCGAATAATGTTTCTAGGCCGAGTCCAAAGTTCAGGATGCATAGGCTATGACATGTGGCTCTTTCCCTATTTTCTGACCAAGAACGGCTCCAACGCTAGAATCTGATACATCACATATAAGTTCAAAGGGTTAATTTGATGAGTGTTCAGAATCATTAATCTTTGCTCGTTATTTCTTCGGGTTTGAGGAATTATTACTACTAAATTGGTCGTGTTATGTTTGTTTTCGTGTATGT